TCTTTCCAATTTCCAAGCAACAGTGAATCGCCTCGCGTAGAAAAAGTATTAAATATGTCGAAATAATTGCTGTCAGTCATTTCATACGAATGGAAAGTAAACTAAACAAGTGTGCACACAAGTATCATGATGATAAATGCCAAATAACACAACAGAAATACTTAAAAAGGGAATGTAACTTTTGTCCAATCTGTAAAATGTCAACATGCGGTGGAGACTTCCTCGTCCATGTGCACATGCGCACAATCGAAGTTGCAGGCTCTTCGTTTTTTTATGCAGTTTTAGCGATTTAAAGTTGCCGTTTTTACTGTTTCAGTAGCGAAGTATTACGTTTATGTTGCTATTTCCACGATTAATATGGGCTTTTCTGCGTTCTTCTGCACAGTGGGAAAGTTTTCTTTGGTAGGCCTGTTGGTGCACTGGTCAGTTGTCCCTGTCCTTTGTTCATGGGTCAGTTTTGTTTGACAGCATTAAAGGTCATGGCTGTCAACATAATTCAAAACACCATCTGTGGTGGCGAAGGGATCGAGAGTATTTCAAACTATTTGTGATATTATAAAATGATAATAGTATTCACTTGATCATTTTGATTTTTAAGTATTCCTGTTTACACACATGGTCAATTCTTGGTAGTGCAGGTGGCAACGCTCTCACAAGCAAACCACATGTTGCTCTGTGAACTCAGTGTGCACACCCTCTTGTTCACACGAGCCTACGACCTGTGCCTTGAGCAAATTTTGGATTTAGACGCACAATACAAATATGAACTTTATTATTATTATGTGAGAATATTTAGTGTACATGTTATCATACTTATACTTTTTAGATGACGTGTGTGAACAGCATTGTTTGTATCTGTTGGTCTGCTTTGTCCTCTGCAGTACGGAAGTCTGCTGTTTTCTGTAACTAGGAGGGTTGTCCAAACTAAATGTTTCTGGATGAAAAGATGTTTTGAATTATTTTAATTTTATGTCATTTTGATTTAAATTATGGTGAAGTAAATATACAAATGAACATTTGTTTACAGTTTTGTTTCATCAAAATGATAAATCTAATGAACTTCTGGATGGTGCCAGGATAAGTTTATGAATGTTAATAATACGTCTGTGTATTGGCAAATAAATTGTATTGCAATATATTACGATTCTGGTACCCACATATCGATTCGTATCGCGAGATATTGGGAGCCTTAGTGTTTGACAGTGAGTGACATTGATTGTACATGAGAGACTATTTTCTACATACTAAAGCCATAAAAATATACTTAATCAGTTGTGATAATAGAAATTTTGAATTTAGATTTAATTTTGAGGGATTGTATTTTGTTTTTTTTATAAAATGTATTGTATGTAAAGTATGCTGTTTTGTCAGTCAATTACACTGGAAAAAAGTCAGTGTAGATTTGAACTTAAACCCATAGGCCCCCACTGCGGGTCAGAAAATCGATAAACTAGTCCCCGGTTTAGTATCCACACCCCTACTATATAATTTGTATTATATAGTAGGGGTGTGGATACTAAACCGGGGACTAGTTATACTATATAATACATATTATATAGTAGGGGGTGTGGATACTAAACCGGGGACTAGTTTATCGATTTTCTGACCCGCAGTGAGGGCCTATGCTTAAACCATAAAAATATTCACAAAACTTCATTTTTATACTTAGAGAAACAAATAAAGGAACACAGGAAACTTCAAGCGTTCCTTTATTAATTTCCAGTTTTCATCACCACAGCTTTTTCAAAGCTGGTGATGAAAACTAGAAAATATTAAAGGAACTCTTGAATTTTCCTCTGTTTTTTTATTTGTTTCTCTACGCATATTTTATTACCCAGTATACCGGTTCTGAGGAAAAAACATTGCAATATGTATCATTTGAAAGGTGTATTGCTATATACCGGTAATACCATGCAGTAATAGTTAATAATTTATCTGCGAATGAAGCATCTGCATGCCATAAACTACATGACTGATTGTGAGATGGGTAGTTTGATATATGGGGTCAAGGGTGAACAGACAGGGTCAAGAGTGAAAGGAGTGTTAGTGCAACTTACCTTGCCTGGTTCTGATAGCACAGCCGCCTGGCCTGTCTGACCTGAGCTGATGTCACCGTGGGCCAGTTGTGGTTACTCGTGTATGTGGGACACATTTATCATGTTCACCGTGACTTGAACCCATCACTGCACTGGCGGAACGTGAATGACATGGTCAACAATGTCAGGCCATGCTGTTTTGTTGTATGGGTTACAGACTTTGTAGCAGGATTAGTCAGGGTTGAGGTATGCCTAGGTGGCAGAAATGGATCTGTACAACACGTACAACTGATATGGAAGATCTGTACAAAAAATACAACAGGTCTGGGAGATCTGTACAACAAATACAACTGGTCTGAGATCTATACAACAAATACAACTGGTCTGGGAGATCTATACAACAAATACAAGTGGTCTTGGAGATCTGTACAACAAATACAACAGGTCTGGGAGATCTGTACAACAAATTCAACTGGTCTGAGAGATCTGTGCAACAAATACAACTGGTCTGGGAGATCTGTACAACAAATACAACTGGTCTGGGAGTTCTGTGCAACAAATACAACAGGTCTGGGAGATCTATGCAACAAGTACAACTGGTCTGGTAGATCTATACAACAAATACAACTGGTCTGGTAGATCTATACAACAAATCCAAGTGGTCTGGGAGATCTGTACATCTGTACAACAAATGCCGTTGGCCTAGTCTAATATATTGGAATAACATCTGTTGTCAGACAGAACTATTCTGATTTCATAGCATATCTAAGTATCACTGTACAATATTCAATTTAATTATGTTTTACAATCTGTAACCATGGAAACAAATATTATATTCAGTCCATAATATTGTGGTAATATTACAACCTCCAGTTCTTGTTGAGCCGGAAAATAGAAATATATTTTGCTCGATTAATATCCTTTTGGTCTGTCAGATTGAACATATACAACATATTATGACTGAGGAATCAACCATCTAAGGAATAAAAACAGTTGTGATCTATATTTTGCCGAGTCAGCAGTACCAGTGTAGATCCAGTGCTGTCCCAACAGTAGTGATACAGGCCATTCCTCCATAAGATAACTCCAGATGGGTGTAAATCGGTCACAGATAACTCTGTATACTTACACTGTTTGGAGCCATATTCTGGTTTATCACTGGTACTGTTTCCCAAACAACTAATGGTTAAGAATATATTTACCTTGATGGTGAAAGAAGATCTAATTTGAAGGGTTAATGTTTCTAAGTTTAAAGCAAGAACCATTTCCGAGTCTATTACTGCACTGGATACTTGCTCATGAAAAGGAGTTATGTTTCTAAAAATGCAATAAAGATATTGTATGCTGGAGATAAACCTATTCATTTTTCATATATTGAGTTTAAATTTGATTAAACATTTAGTGATGTTCAATCAATGATGAATGACAACAATATTTAGAAAGGAAACATGAAGACCTGTGAAGATCCAGGTTAATCACACTGATGTCACATTCCCCAAACAGATAATCTCATGAATGTCACATGGCCCAAACAGATAATCACACAAATGTGACATTGCCCAAACAGATAATCACTCTAATGTCACATTACCCAAACAAATAATCACACTAATGTCACATGGCCCAAACAGATAATCTCATGAATATCACATGGCCCAAACAGATAATCACACAAATGTGACATGGCCCAAACAGATAATCACTCTAATGTCACATTACCCAAACAAATAATCACACTAATGTCACATGGCCCAAACAGATAATCTCATGAATATCACATGGCCCAAACAGATAATCACACAAATGTGACATGGCCCAAACAGATAATCACTCAAATGTCACATGGCCCAAACAGATAATCACACTAATGTCACATGACCCAAACAGATAATCACATTAATGTCACATGGCCCAAACAGATAATCTCATGAATGTCACATGGCCCAAACAGATAATCACACTAATGTCACATGGCCCAAACAGATAATCACTCTAATGTCACATTACCCAAACAAATAATCACACAAATGTCACATGACCCAAACAGATAATCACATCAATGTCACATGGCCCAAACAAATAATCACACTAACGTAACATGGCCCAAACAGATAATCTCATGAATGTCACATGGCCCAAACAAATAATCACTCTAATGTCACATGGACCAAACAGATAATCACACAAATGTCACATGGCCCAAACATATAATCACACTAATGTCACATGACCCAAACAGAGCATCACACAAATGTCACATGGTCCCAAACAGAGAATCACACAAATGTCACATGGCCCCAACAGATAATCACACAAATGTCACATGTCCCAAACAGAGAATCACACAAATGTCACATGGCCCAAACAGATAATCACTCTAATGTCACATGGCCCAAACAAATAATCACACTAATGTAACATGGCCCAAACAGATAATCTCATGAATGTCACATGGCCCAAACAAATAATCACACTAATGTCACATGGCCCAAACAGATTATCTCATGAATGTGACATGGCCCAAACAGATAATCACTGCAATGTCACATGTCCCAAACAGATAATAACTGCAATGTCACATGTCCCAAACAGATAATCACTGCAGTGTTACATGGCCCAAACAGATAATCACTGCAATGCCACATGACCCAAACAGATAATCACACTAACGCCACATGGCCTAAACAGATAATCACACAAATGTCACACTAAAGTTACAACCCTAAAAATTACTGATTGAAGCGATAATTAGTCAGTTGCCATCCATTATGTAGCAGCCTATTGTGAGAATAAACACCCGCCATTGGTGGATATAGTCATTCAGTGATTTCATCCACGTATCTGATTGTCTCCATATTTCAGTATTACCATGATGACAGGGGAAGTATATCTGTATGTGTATAGCCTTGCTGGTGCTGCTGTCTGTTAGCCATACATACTTGTATGTCTCTCTGTGTATTGCAGGCCTTCCGACCCAGGCTTCGGAGCTGGTGTGTCAGGGGGTTCTAGATGTCACCACACACACATTCACACAACCAGAGAAGGCCATCAAGGGTGTTGAAGACATACCTAAGTGGGAGAAGTCACAGGTAGATGCCTTTCTCTCCTCAGTACAGAATGGTCTGTTCCACCTATTACTGTGATATTTACAAGTATGGAGCTTTTATCATTATACTTATTAGTATTATGCAATTTTGTTTCATTGTGTCTTTCATGTCCATATGATCCCACATCAATTAGCAAGAGTTTGTTGACATTGTACTAGACCGGCATTCACTATACTGACACATTAGTTTCTACATAAAGCCCGGTGTTTAATACTACATAATGACCTGTGTTTAATACTACGTAATGACCTGTGTTTAATACTACATAATGACCTGTGTTTAATACTTACATAATGACCTGTGTTTAATACTACATAACCTGTTGTTTAATACCTAGTGTGTTTAATGACCTGTGTTTAATACTACATAACCTGTGTTTATTACTACCTGTGTTTAATACTACATAATGACCTGTGTTTATTACTACATAACGACCTGTGTTTAATACTACATAATGACCTGTGTTTTTGCTACTATTACTACATAACCTACCTGTGTTTATTACTACATAACGACCTGTGTTTAATACTACATAACGACCTGTGTTTAATACTACATAACGACCTGTGTTTATTACTACATAATGACCTGTGTTTATTACTACATAATGACCTATGTTTATTACTACATAATGACCTATGTTTATTACTACATAATGACCTGTGTTGATACTACATATTGACCTGTGTTTAATACTACATAAAGACCTATGTCTCTTACCACATAATGACCTGTGTTTGATACGACACAATGACCTCTGACTGTTTCAGGCCTACGGTGACCTGACAGGCTTTATCCTGACCCTGAACGAGGCAGTTAAGGGCAAGAAGATATCTGACACATATCCCGTCTCCGAGGTGGGTCTCGCTGGATCTCACTGCCAAACCTGCTTTTCAAATGATAGCCTCTTGTTCATATAATACATGAAAAGGAAAATAGCAGAGCATGTTGGAGAGAAAAACTTGATAATGAACTGAAATGATCACATATGCACTCAGCTAAATGTATGCATTTTTTAACTAATTTTAGATGAAAATCTGTTAAGTGGAACTACATACTCTGAAGTCTCTCTCTCGTGAATAGTTGCACCCTTCCCTCATGAAAAATGTTTGAATGTTAAAAATGAGTAAGTCCAGAGCTCCAGATAAGATTTAGCTCATGTGGGTACTGTACCCACTGTATTTTTGGAGTGGGTTTTATGAATGTTGAGTGGGTATTTCATTTTCCGTTACCCTTTCTTTTCAATATGTGTCGTATTTCAGTCGCTTTTACTCACCTAAGTATTATGTCATTGAGTAAGTTTACTAAGCAGGTATGTTCTGCCTTATGTCATACCTAATCAAAACCAACTTAAATATAATGGAAATGATTTCATAAAAATCACTCATCCTATACTGACAGTACAACACTTGTCCTATACTAACAGTACAACTTGATAGCAATCCATGTCTTTTTTCATTACTAAGTTTATTTTTATAAATATATTCGTCGCATTTGTTTTAAACTTTTTTATGTATCTAACATTTTAAATGCGTGGTGGTACCTTAAGAATTATTTTCAATGCGTGGTTGGAAATGTTCTATCTATCGTATTTTACCGGATCTGCGCAGCTTATCTGGGCCTCTGTAAGTCTCATTTTCACCTGTCTGAAAACTCTGATGTGACACTGTTTCAGCCAATAAAGAAAAATTGAGGGTGTTGTTGACACACTGTCAGGCTGGGTAGATGAGATCCCCTGTCGACCAGCAGCAGAGGTTCGGCAATAAGGCATTCAGGGACTTCTTCACTCGGCTGCAGCAGGTACAGTAGACCGGAACTGAACAGAAAATACAACAGCTGAATATATGCCTGGACCTTTTGATACCTGTATGGGGGTCAATATATTACTGGCTACTGAACTCGGCTAGACTGTAGACAGGTCCTCCTGGTCCCAGTTTAGGGACACTGTATAACTTGTTAGGGACACTGTGCTAGACTGTAGACAGGCCCTCTTGGTCCCAGTTTAGGGACACTGGGCTAGACTGTAGACAGGTCCTCTTGGTCCCAGTTTAGGGACACTGTATTACTTGTTAGGGACACTGTGCTAGACTGTAGACAGGTCCTCCTGGTGCCAGTTTAGGGACTCTGTATTACTTCTAAGGGACACTGTGCTAGACTGTAGACAGGTCCTCCTGGTGCCAGTTTAGGGACTCTGTATTACTTCTAAGGGACACTGTGCTAGACTGTAGACAGGTCCTCCTGGTGCCAGTTTAGGGACTCTGTATTACTTCTAAGGGACACTGTGCTAGACTGTAGACAGGTCCTCCTGGTCCCAGTTTAGGGACACTGTATTACTTGTTAGGGACACTGTGCTAGACTGTGAGACAGGTCCTCCTGGTGCCAGTTTAGGGACTCTGTATTACTTCTAAGGGACACTGTGCTAGACTGTAGACAGGTCCTCCTGGTGCCAGTTTAGGGACTCTGTATTACTTCTAAGGGACACTGTGCTAGACTGTAGACAGGTCCTCCTGGTGCCAGTTTAGGGACTCTGTATTACTTCTAAGGGACACTGTGCTAGACTGTAGACAGGTCCTCCTGGTCCCAGTTTAGGGACACTGTATTACTTGTTAGGGACACTGTGCTAGACTGTAGACAGGTCCTCCTGGTGCCAGTTTAGGGACTCTGTATTACTTCTAAGGGACACTGTGCTAGACTGTAGACAGGTCCTCCTGGTGCCAGTTTAGGGACTCTGTATTACTTGTTAGGGACACTGTGCTAGACTGTAGACAGGTCCTCCTGGTGCCAGTTTAGGGACTCTGTATTACTTCTAAGGGACACTGTGCTAGACTGTAGACAGGTCCTCCTGGTGCCAGTTTAGGGACTCTGTATTACTTCTAAGGGACACTGTGCTAGACTGTAGACAGGTCCTCCTGGTGCCAGTTTAGGGACTCTGTATTACTTAAGGGACACTGTGCTAGACTGTAGACAGGTCCTCCTGGTGCCAGTTTAGGGACTCTGTATTACTTCTAAGGGACACTGTGCTGGACTCTTGACAGGTTCTCCTGGTCCCAGTTTAGGGACTCTGTAGTCTTTCTAAGGGACACTGTGCTGGGCTGTTGACAGGTCCTCTTGATCCCTCAATGACAGCACTGCTTGTTACAGAACTGGGGCGGTGGGGTAGCCTAGTGGTCAAAGCGTTGGCTCGTCATGCCGAAGATCCGGGTTGAATCCCCACATGGGTACAATGTGTGAAGCCCATTTCTGGTGTCCCCCGCCGTGATGTTGCTGGAATATTGCTAAAAGCGGCGTAAAACCAAACTCAGTCAGTCAGTCAGTGTTACAGAACTATGCTAGACTGTTGACAGGTCCTCTTGATCCCTCAGTGATAGCACTGCTTGTTACAGAACTATGCTAGACTGTTGACAGGTCCTCTTGATCCCTCAGTGATAGCACTGCTTGTTACAGAACTATGCTAGACTGTTGACAGGTCCTCTTGATCCCTCAATGATAGCACTGCTTGTTACAGAACTATGCTAGACTGTTGACAGGTTCTCTTGATCCCTCAATGATAGCACTGCTTGTTACAGAACTATGCTAGACTGTAGACAGGTCCGCTTGATCCCTCAATGATAGCACTGCTTGTTACAGAACTCAGCTGGGCTGTTGACTGAATGTCTCGGGGAGAAGTACACGCCAGCCATAGATGAGCTCAGTGTCTACTTACTGGAGAGTGTGGGCAACTCCACCAGAATAGACTATGGTACAGGTAGGTCTCAAGTATTACTAGAGATAGATCACTCACTCACTCACTCACTCACTCCTCACTCACTCACTCACTCACTCACTCCTCACTCACTCACTCACTCACTCACTCACTCACTCACTCACTCACTCCTATGGATATACGAAAACACGCCAAGTTGTTGTTTATGCTTTAAAAACCAATCACTGCATATTAAAATGATAACTGTTCAAACAAAAACCAAACTGAAATTGAAACATGGCAACAATTTACATGCTATCTGAGAGGAATGCACAAAAATATGCGCATCAACAATGCTGGTAAGCATAGTCACCATGACTATGCCAAGAATGTGATGGTCACACAGTTGTCAACGATTGTTGTGATTGTATGAACCACCACTAGCCACCACAGATAACATCTGCCAGTCTCTTCCCCACACTGGCATGGTGAGTGGGATCAGGACTCCTTGTTCGGGCTCCAAGTGCAGTTTTTCTGTGTGGGTCATGGCATTGCATCTTGCCACATCAACTATGAGTCGGTCATCACAGCAGTCTTTAGCCTTCCAGGCCGTGGATGAAATTTTTTATTTATCAGTGGCCACATGCCTCCTCATAAGTCGACTAATGAGTGAGTGAGTGAGTTTAGCTTTATTGCCACACTCCACAGTATTTCAGTTATATGGCAGCGATCTGTAAATAATCTGGACCAGACAATCCCGTAATTAACAGCATGAGCATAGATCTATGCTAATCTAACCCAGATGTTCACAGGTCGACTAATAACCGTGTGGTTGATGTTCCAGTTAGCGCCGATGTTGCGACATTACATCCCTTGTGGTTCCTGCTAGTAACTTGCCGGCATGTAGTTCCTGACAGTCTATGTAATGCCAGGTCAAGAATAGTTCATTTTTAGTACAGTCAACTTTTAAATCGGTTCAGAACACTGTACTGAACATACTGCAATTATGAAATATTGACATGCATTGCCGTTGGATTCAAGTGGAGCTTAATTAATGCTCATGTGTATATAAATGTGTCTTTTGTATCTTGTTGGTTTTTTTTCATTGCAGGTCATGAGTTAAATTTTGTAGCTTTCTTGTGCTGCCTGTATAAGATAGGCGTGCTGACAACGGAAGACTATGTAGCAACTGTTCTCCGGGTGTTTGAGAGGTGAGTCACATGCTGTAGTAGGGAGGTGACACATGTTGTAGTAGGGAGGTGACTCACATGTTGTAGTAGTGAGGTGAGTCACATGCTGACTCACATGTTGTAGTAGTGAGGTGGAGTCACATGTTGTAGTGACTCACATGTTGTAGTGGTGAGGTGAGGTGACTCACATGTTGTAGTGAGGTAGTAGTGAGGTGAGTCACATGTTGTAGTAGTGAGGTGAGTCACATGTTGTAGTAGTGAGGTGAGTCACATGTGTGTAGGGAGGTGAGGGAGGTGACACATCACATGTTGTAGTAGTGAGGTGAGTCACATGTTGTAGTAGTGAGGTGAGTCACATGTTGTAGTAGGAGGAGAAGTCACATGTTGTAGTAGTGAGGTGAGTCACATGTTGTAGTAGTGAGGTGGTCAGTTGTAGTAGAGGTGAGGTCATGTTTGTAGTCATGTTGTAGTAGTGAGGTGAGTCACATGTTGTAGTAGTGAGTTGTCACATGTTGTAGGGAGGACTTCATGTTGTAGTCACATGTTGTAGTGGGGAGGTGAGGTGACTCACATGTTGTAGTAGTGAGGTGAGTCACATGTTGTAGTGGGGAAGTGACTCAAATGTTGTTGTAGTAGTGAGGTGACTCACATGTTGTAGTAGTGAGGTGAGTCACATGTGTGTAGTGTCAGGTGTAGTGAGGTCACATGTTGTAGTGGGGAGGTGAGGCTGACTCACATGTTATAGTCACATGTTGTAGTGGGGAGGTGAGTCACATGTTGTAGTGTGACTCACATGTTGTGTGAGGTGAGTCACATGTTGTAGTAGGGGAGTCACATGTTGTAGTTGTAGTAGGAGGTGAGTCACATGTTGTAGTAGGGAGGTGAGTCACATGTTGTAGTGTAGAGGTGAGTCACATGTTGTAGTAGTGAGGTGAGTCACATGTGTAATGTGGTGAGGTGAGGTCACATGTTGTAGTAGTAGTGACTTCATGTTGTAGTAGTGAGGTGAGTCACATGTTGTAGTAGGGAGTGAGTCACATGTTGTAGTGGAGTCACATGTTGTAGTGAGTGAGGTGAGTCACATGTGTGTAGTAGTGAGGTGGAGTCACATGTTGTAGTAGGGAGGTGAGTCACATGTTGTAGTAGGGAGGTGAGTCACATGTTGTAGTAGGAGAGGTGAGTCACATGTTGTAGTAGGGAGGTGAGGTGAGTCACATGTTGTAGTGGGTGAGTTGTAGAGTGAGTGGAGTCATGTTGTAGTGACTCACATGGGAGGTGACTCACACATGTTGTAGTAGTGAGGTGAGTCACACATGTGTGTAGTAGTTAGGTGAGTGAGTCACATGTAGTGTAGTGGGTTGTAGAGGTGACTCACATGTTGTAGTAGTGAGGTGAGTCACATGTTGTAGTGAGTCACATGTAGTGGGAGTCACATGTTGTAGTAGTGAGGTGAGTCACATGTTGTAGTGAGTGGGGAGGTGAGTCACATGTTGTAGTGGGGAGGTGAGTCACATGTTGTAGTAGGGAGGTTGTAGTGGTGAGGTGAGTCACATGTTGTGTAGGAGGTGAGTCACATGCTGTAGTAGGGAGGTGATGTAGTCACATGTAGTGGGAGGTGAGTCACATGTTGTAGTAGTGAGGTGAGTCACATGTTGTAGTAGGGAGGTGAGTCACATGTTGTAGTAGGGAGGTGAGTCACATGTTGTAGTAGTGAGGTGACTCACATGTTGTAGTAGTGAGGTGAGTCACATGTTGTAGTAGTGAGGTGAGTCACATGTTGTAGTAGTGAGGTGAGTCACATGTTGTAGTGGGGAGGTGATTCACATGTTGTAGTAGTGAGGTGAGTCACATGTTGTAGTAGGGAGGTGAATCACATGTTGTAGTGGGGAGGTGAGTTACATGCTGTAGTAGGGAGGTGACTCACATGTTGTAGTGGGCAGTTGACTCACATGTAGAAGTGACTTGAGTGACATGTTGTAGTGGTGATGTGATTCACATGTTGTAGAAGTGAGGTGAGTCACATGTTGTAGTGGGGAGGTGACTCACATGTTATGGGGAGGTGAGTCACATGTTGTAGTAGTGAGGTGAGTTACATGCTGTAGTAGAGAGGTGAGTTACATGCTGTAGTAGTGAGGTGAGTTACATGCTGTAGTAGGGAGGTGAGTCACATGTTGTAGTGGGGAGGTGAGTTACATGCTGTAGTAGGGAGGTGACTCTGATGTTGTAGTAGTGAGGTGAGTCACATGTTGTAGTAGTGGGGAGGTGAGTCACATGCTGTAGTAGGGAGGTGACTCACATGTTGTAGTAGTGAGGTGAGTCACATGTTATAGTAGTGAGGTGACTCACATGTTGTAGTAGGGAGATGAGTCACATGTTGTAGGAAGTTGACTCACATGTTGTAGTGGGGAGGTGTCATTTTGTGTTCTTTGTTCAGGTATATGGAGTTTGTACGCAAGTTACAGAAGACCTATCGCATGGAGCCAGCAGGGAGCCATGGTGTGTGGAGCCTGGATGACTACCAGTTCATACCATTTATATGGGGAAGTTCCCAGTTGCTAGGTAATCAGACAGTAGTTTGTATACTACAAGCATAAGCTGCTGATAAAGTTCAATATAAGTCCATCTGTGAAAGGGGATTACAGCTCAAATGATAATAGCTGCTACTGGGTAAAATGAGGTTAAGTTTGGTAAGTTTTGTGCAATGTAATTTAAGGTGCCGAAATGTAATCTTTGCCGTTTTTAGGTTTGGGGATTTTCTGTTGTTGATAGGTCAGCGGCCATACAGGATACTAAAGTCTACATTATAAGTTATCTTGCCTCTCACATAAATGTCGTTTTCTGATTGGCTGAGCGCTCTTCTATTATCTTCAATGTACCCCGCTTCAAAATTTCCATTGAGGTGTTCGTAAAGTCTACATTATAAGGTGTTCACTGGTCTCGAGGGGGACATGGGCTGATGTTCCCTCGATGTTTGTTTATGTTCCCTGAGCCCTCATCGAGGGTACATCAACCCATGGGTCCCCAGGGACCAGTGAACAACGTATTTTATCTTACCAAATACCTCAACGGTAATTTTAAACTGTTTCAAGCACGGGCATCGGATCATAGTAGGGAGTACCAGACGACAAGAAAAACAATTTAGAGTTATCTCCCTTCCATCGATTTGCATTCGCAAAACATCAGTAATTTCCATACATCATACAAGATTCAATGTTATTCAAGATAAAGAATTACTACTACAAAGTACCAAATGAATTCGACATTCCCAGCGGGGTACATAGTAAAATGTTACTTGCTTGTAAGTGGGGTACGTTGAAAATAAACAACATTTATGTATGAGGCAAGATACATGTACATGATTGTTGTTTCAGGTCACCCCAGGATCCAGCCCAAGTCCTTCCCCAAGCCAGAAATTAGTGAACACTTTTGTAAAGACTTCATGTTTCTAGGATGTATCAAGTACATCAATGAGGTGAGACCACAACCATTTCTTTGGAAAGAGGAATTAAACAGGTTTCAGGGAATAGCAGCACTGACTTCTGGCAGCAATGTACAGGAGCCCATGGCTGTTTATAATTCCATGTTTTGTGGAAGCCGTTAAGATCATACTTGTAGTAGAGGCGACTAATAGGGGCAGGGGGTCAGGCGTGTGGACTTGCTTGACTGAAGAAGTCAGTGTGTAGGATAAACCAGGCAATGTTCACATGTTGTGTGGCAGAAATGGCTTTGGGGGTGTCAGGTCGCATCCTCAGAAAAGGAAATAACATTACGTTTTGTCAGGATATGTGTTTCCATAGCAGGAACGGGGTGAATATTAATGTAATATGTTGATTACAGGTAAAGACGGGACCATTTCCTGAACATTCAAACCAGCTGTGGAACATCAGTGGTGTAGGCAAGTGGGACAAAGTCAACTCGGGACTAGTAAAGATGTACAAGGCAGAGGTGAGTTGTCAACTTGGGACTAGTAAAGATGTACAAGGCAGAGGTGAGTTGTCAACTTTGGACTAGTAAAGATGTACAAGGCAGAGGTGAGTTGTCAACTTTGGACTAGTATTTTAATAGTAAAGATGTACAAGACAGAGGTTAATTGTCAACTTTGGACTAGTAAAGATGTACAAGGCAGAGGTGATACGTCAACTCCGGACTAGTAAAGATGTACAAGGCAGAGGTGAGTTGTCAACTTTGGACTAGTATTTTAATAGTAAAGATGTAAAGGCAGAGGTGAGTTGTCAACTTGGGACTAGTAAAGATATTGAAGGCAGAGTCGGGTAGAGAACTCCTTTATGTGTTTTGTTATTATCATATTATGCGGTTGCTAAAAATTCCACAAGCTCTGTTCCCACCAAAAAACGATTTATAGAACTTTATACCAACAAATAGCAAATAACGATACATGTTTCACAATGTGAAGAGTTAACTCCCTTCAGTTGCAAACCCCACACCACTAACCTGTTTAATTTCCCTTCAAGCAATATATTCTGTTTCACCATAAACCCATCAAGATCCCGGTTGGAATTGATCTTCTCTAACCCATGCTTATAAAAGGCGACTTACGGGATCGGGTGGTCAGGCTTCCTGACTTGTTTGACACAACATGCTGTTGATCACTGGATTGTCTGGTCCAGATTGGATTATTTACAGACTGCAACCATATAGCTGGAATATTACTGAGTGCAGTGTAAAACTATAGCTCCGAGCAAAAAAATGAGACACTTACAAAAAGTTGTTTTTTTGTCGCCGTGCGGTGAATTCAAACTTGTTTGGGTAATATTTTGCACCGCTGACAACAGTATGACGCTCTCGGCATTATCTCCCCTGTCGTTGGGCTGGGTCACGTGATGACGCTGTAGCAGACGATTTCCTAGTTACCGACGTCATGTCGAAATCTAAAGCGAAATATCAACTTCTCGCTTTATATGAAGCAGGGTGCAAATCAGTTCAGAAGTTACGGAAAATATTGGGGCTTCCTCGGAGTACCATTTACCAACTTATTGATAGATTTCAAGCTGCCGGCAGTTTTCAGCGCAAGCCAGGATTGGGACGTCCTCATAAACTCGGTGGAAATGACAGGAGAGGACTCGCACTACTGGCGGCAGTGCATCTAAACACGTCGGCAAAACAACTGGATGAGCGTGCCATGGCTTCAGGGAGTACTAGAGTATCTGAATGGACTGTTAGGCGGAGTTTAAAAGAATCAGGAACCGTGAAGAAAGTGCCGACAAAGGTTCCGTTGATGACGCAAGAGCACAAGTGGAAAAGACGGGAGAGGTGTGAGTGTAATAGGGACACTGACTTTTCAAACTGGTTATTTACAGACGAATCGAAGTTCCAATTTTTCCAAATTACAAGGAAAAGGTGGTGCCAAAATGGAAAATGCGAAAAAATGTGCCCAAAGTTCTTGCTTTCTGTGATGGTGTGGGGTGGGATCGGGAAATTTGGGTTAACTCTGCTTCTGGAAATTACAAGCCGCATTGATTCAAGGAAGTACTGCGAGCTTTTGCAAGAAGGACTGCTTGATTCAAATATTGGACAGAGTGGAATTCCCTATGTAATGCAACAAGATAATGCCTGCATACACATCGTCCACCTACACCGAAGCTTGGCTTCGTCGGAACTACATTCAGGTAGTGCAGTTTCCAGCCGCTTCACCAGACCTGAACCCCATCGAAAATGTCTGGCAAATCATCAAGGACAAAGTGGAAAAGTTGGAACCGAAAGACATTGCAGATTGGAAACGAGTGATTCATGAAACGTGGTACGAGCTATCTGAGGAACTGATAGACAATCTTGTAAATTCCATGCCTCGGCGGATTGAACAGTGTTTGGAGCGAAATGGTGGACTGACTGACTATTGACTTATTGTGAACGATTTAGGATTGCATTGTCTACATTGTGCCAATTTTCATAAATTTATGTCAGTTATTAAATCAAGACATTGAATCAAAACTTGTCTCATTTTTTTTGCTCGATACTGTATACTCACTTACTCACACTATTTCACCATAAACAGTAATGTCCGTTTTAACACAAACAGCAGTTTTAATTTAGACCATAAACAGTAATTCAATTCACCATAAGCAAGACCCTTCAATTTGCTCACAGACTTTGATCTGGAAGTCTGGTAAGCTGTGATGTTTGCGCCTGCAAGGTGGGGGTGATAGCAAGTGTTGGCAAAGATAGAGTAGTCACTCTGCCTCACGACTAAGTTTTCACTTCAACATCCCGGGTACACTAAATGTAGTGTAACAGTGTCAAAATCTGAATGTATTTTCTCAAAGCATTGGACGATGATGAGGGAGTTCCACAGTTTCCATGACGATTGTTTTTAATTCTTTAACAGGAGGTGTGACCACCTGTCCGGTGACGTCAGTAACACTGTCTCAGTCCACTCCTTATTTGACGTACATCCTCTGTTGCAGGTGCTGGCAAAGTTTCCTGTAATTCAACACTTCATGTTCGGGAGCTTGTTAACGCTTCAACCTGTGAAATGATGTCATATCCAGCTGTCATGAAATATAATGGTTTCCATGGAGACATGAGACTCTTACAAGCAATGAGTGTGGATGACACACTATATATCACGGATATATCAATATCATCCCTGTGATCAGGACAACTGACATGGTTGAGAGAGAAATGGTTCATGATCAGTAAGAGTTACCTCCCTTCAACTGTGACAAGATCAGTGCAAACCCGCTCTATATGAGGTAAAATGGACCAGAAAACAGCAAATTTTCTTGCTATAATTCTATAAATGATCAGGAATAACCACATACTGTCTGATTTAATATTTGAATGAAATTATATTTTAGATGAACATTTCATCATGTTTTGAAATGGATTTGATATATATATGATGAGGGGTTGTCTCATTAAAATGTTTTAGTATGAATATAAATGTCTCTGAGTTAAACCTGATGCCTGTATTGATATATTTGGTGTTGTTTTTTCTCTGCACTTGATAATGGACTTGAACTGGTAAGCACTAACATGTCACAATATAGAATTTTAATTCAGGCTATAACAAATATATTATTAGAGCTCCGTCCCTACCTGTCTTATTACCAAAAAAGTCATCATTTTTTGTGTTGTATAGAAAAGAGTATCGTGTTTTTTTTGTTCTTCACTGATGAAATACTCCATACCTACATCCTGCCACAAGCATGCTTCTTGTAAATTACATACCTCGAGGTGTTTATTTGATTAATGAAAATATTACAAATATAATGCTTTCTGTCCAACATTTAATAAACAGTTTGGATGGAAATCTGATAATTCATTGTGGCATTGTGGCATATTTTAATTGACCCAGAAATAATGCCAGCATCTTTCTCCAAGACACGCCAAGTTTTACTCCTCTACAGCTGCGCAACTCGTGAAGATCCGGGTTAGAATTGGTCTTCAGCAACCCATGCATGTGGTAAGAGGTGACTAACGGGATCGGGCGGTCAGACTTGATTGATCATGATGCATGTCATCATATTCCAATTGTGTAGATTGATGCTCATGCTGTTGATCACTGGATTGTCTCGTCAAGAGTTGATTATTTACTGACCGCTGTCATATAGCTGGAATATTGCCGAGAACATGCTTATAATGCGCTTAATAAAAACATGTTGTTTTAGTACCAGCTACTTGCTGTATATTTTAGTTACGAAGAACTAAGATAAAAAATGATTAGTCCTTCTGAGTTTGTTTTAACCATAGTTTATTGTATTTCAAGGATGATCCTCAGTCTGCCTTTCCGTTCTCTGTTTCATTCTTGATTGTAATGATAAAGTGAGTGAGGGAGGGAATTTAGTTTTACCCCGTTTTTTAGCAATATTCCAGTAATATCACGGTGGTGGACACACATTGTACCCATGTGGGGAATCAAAACCCGGGTCTGAGGAGCGAATGCTTTAACCACTAGGCTACCCCCCCACCCGTAATGATAAAGAATTCATGAACTACCTCAGGGTGTAACACTAACATCACTGGAAGCAAATGAGGTTGGATCAAGTTGTCCTCAATACCACTTCTGACATTAATATTTTGTATCAACATCTTGTTTGTTAAACACCAACAGAAAACATTTCAAATTTTGTAAATGTATAATTCTATACACTGAACCAAGCAAGCATATGTAATCATGTATGTGTGGGGTAGCTGGGTAGTCAACTGGGTAAAGCATTTGCTAATCAGGCCAAAGACTCGGGTTCGATTCCCCACATGGGTACAATGTTTAAAGTTCATTTCTGGTGTCCCCCAATGTAAAAATTGCTGGAATATTGCTAAAGGCAGTGTAAATTCTCACTCACTCACTCACGCACGCACGCACGCACGCATGCATGTAAACATATGAGGGATGTGTTAATGTCTGCTGTCTTTATTTCACCTGGTTTATTAGACCCCTGACTGACAATTTGACAGAAACACTAACTGTGATGGAAGATTCAGAGACTAAGAAAATGGTAACGGAACCTGAGGGAAATCTAGACTTGCTTCATTTATGGGTTTTGCCTCACAGGAGGGTTTGCACAGAAGGGAAAACAAATATGGTTCGGTGACTATGCAACAGACTAATCACACCCAAGCCACCTATATGAGTCAGTGCCTAGCTTAGGTAACTCAGCTCCTAGTATGTATGGGCGTGGCCACTTATCCTCGCCTCGCTCTCCAGGCAGGAATATACACCGATGTTCTCCAGGCAGGAATATACACCGATGTTTTTGGAGCAGCATCTGTGTGAGCTGACCCTTTTATTCACCGATGCAGAATCACAGTCACAGAGACAGCAACACTGACAAGTTAGTTCGGGTCCTGCTGGTTGACTGACCCAGATTGTCGGGTGCCTCGTCATGCTGGTCACAGTCATACGCAGGTCACACACTCACGTGACAGGGCTTGACGAGAGACATGCATTACTGATTCGTGAAAATATCCGCATTGTATTTTTCGTTTAAAATTATACTCAAAATATTACAGATATACTTGTATTTTACTTTATATGACTGTGTTTGACAAGTTCTGAGGGATTACATGAACGCAAAGCTCTATCAAATATGCGCTAATATAGGTGGCTAAAATATTGCGTTCAGTGTAGAAGGGTCATCTGTGCTTATTGGACGTGTTGCCCAGTCGTCTGAGTTGCTCTCCGCGGCCGGAGTCGAGTCCCGGGGTCGTGTAGGAACCCTCAAATGCTCGAATCCTGAACTGACAGCGCATGCTTGTGGGTCTTGTTTTTCAGCACTCGCTGGGACACGTATTGATAAATGTCTGAGACCTACGTTACTAAGGGTTCTTCTGTGGAAGCAGTCATGTTAATGAAATACAGCCAGCTACGCTTACGACGAACTCAGTGAGTGAGTTTAGTTTTACGCCGCACTCAGCAATATTCCCGCTATATGGCGGCGGTCTGTAAATAATCGAGTCTGGACCAGACAATCCAGTGATTAACAGCATGAGCATCGATCTGCGCAACTGGGAACCGATGACATGTGTCAACGAAGTCAGCGAGCCTGACCACCCGACCCTGTTAGTCGCCTCTTACACAAGGATGGGTTGCTGAAGGCCAATTCTAACCCGGATCTTCACTGGTATCGACGCACTTAAAGGAACCTCTAATTTCAGTTCGTAGTCCGCATTTTACTCAAAGTCGTTATAAACGTAGTTACAGAAGTTCTTTAAGCGACGATTAACTAGTATGGGTGATGTTAATAAAACACTTCAATTTGAGACGTATTTTCAACAGAAATAACAGCTGCATAAATACTGGATGGAAGATCGGAATGTTTCTCTACCTATGCGCAAACTCACCCACGTGTCTAAAGTGCGATGCGGTCTGTGTGAGTGAGGAAGGGAACACGGAGTTAGTACACCATCAATAAACCCAGGGGTCAGTCCGTACTGTCCCGTTATCTGTAGTCTGGAAACCGAGCACTGCTGTAATCCGAGAAACACTGCCTGTTATATATATCCGCGGACATTTATTTTAAGAGTTGAAAAGTCGCCTCATCCCCGTCTGATGTCTAACTCTACTCTTTGAACGTTTTCTCTTTTCAACGACATATGGGTACAATGTGTGAAGCCCATTTCTGGTGTCCCCGCCGTGATATTGCTGGAATATTGCTAAAAGCGGCGTAAAACTACACTCACGCACTCTTTTCAACGGTTGCTCTTGTTTGTTTAATCCGCTCTCAGCAATATTCCAGCTATATGACGGTCTGTAAATAATCGAGTCTGGACTAGACAATCCAGTGATGAACATCAGGAGAATCGATCTACGCAGCTGGGATACGATGACATGTGTCAACCAGGTCAGCGAGTCTGACCACCCGTTAATCGCCTCTTACGACAAGCATTGGTCAGTGTTTGCCCTTAACCCCGAAAAGCTGCAGACCCTCCTATATTTTAATAATAATAGTAATACTCTTAGTTATTGGGGATGGAAAAGATGTCAGCCTTAAAGACCTGCAGAAAACAAAAGCTGTGGGTCCGAGTGGTTTTCAGTCGGCTTCGGGGCCTATGGACCGACGTTAATTTCGAACGCTGGCATTGGTTGCTGAAGTGAAGACCCTTTCTAACACGGATGTGAACGGGATTCAGTTCACAGAAATATGTTAAACATATCCTGAAATCGGAGGTGACTGAGGACGGGGCAGTTGGGGTTTTTTTCTCAAGGAGTTACCACAGTGAACATTCAAATACAACGAATAATGGAGGAATTGCCTTTTCGATGTGTATTGCCTATGTGTTTTGAACCAACTAACAATGCTTCAAAGATTTTAATTTAGAAATGTTTTCTTCAAAATATATATATATATATATTTATATATATATACATACATTCTTATCAGTAAATCGAGAACCCTCAGGAATAGACCCGTCGCCTTACAAGTAAACAACTCGTGCAACAACACATCCTTCGTCGCCATGGCTACAGGTAAACAATATCCCCGGCCATGACTTGGACATTAATTTCAGAGGACATAGCTGAGCGGATCAATGAATCCACGTATACTGATAAATGGCCCACTATCGACATTTCTTTCTACACAAAGTATTGAAATAATTGTACATTTTTGCGCATCTTAAATTCTGATATTAATATAGATTCATGTTTAATATTGTTCTACCGTTTAAATCATTGTTGTGTAGATCCACCTGTGTAAACATCTTTGAAATTTGTTCACATTACGAATGTCCTACATTTCGCCAACTGATTTATTTTGTGATATGTTGCTGTGTTTTAAGTCGCAAATTATCCACGTGAAGATCCGTAATGCATATGAATAGCGCTACCTGACATCACGTGAAATGACGTAGAGAATTGTCTCCCCTTGACTAGATATGGGCTTCAGATCGCCCGAGCAACGGCTGTCGCCCACGACGACGCGGATACACTTGACCCTCTGCGTAATAAAATCTTTGTTGACATATTTAAGATATTTCGTTACTCCTGAAACATTTACACAAGGATGGTTTCCTATCTTAGGTTTTAGTGATGCGATATGCGTTTTACGCCAGCTGTATTCCAAAGACCTGTAAATAACGAAAGTGAGTGAGTGAATAGGAGCAATATTCCACCAATATTTCGGAAAGGGACACCAGAAATGGGCTTCACACATTGTACCCATGTGGATAATCGAACCCGGAGAAGTGAACGCCTTACCCACTAGGCTACCGCATCGCCCACCATACATAGGCCTACCAATGATTGATGTCATGAGCAACACACCACGCTGGACACACGGAGTGGAGCTATCTGGTTTACCTAAATATGCTCCATGTATCATAAGCATCTCAAATCTCGCGATGTTCCATTGCTCGTAGAGCCGAGAGAATCGTCATTATATATTCCACATGTAATGTACTACACGACGTCCATACATATGGTTGATCAAAGGCTGTCTATATACACATCTCTATTACCGTCTATTCCTTTCTTAGC